TATTGGGTTCAGACATGGTTATTGACATAATTGTCTAATTTTGTTTTGGTGTCTAGTTTCATATTATCAAACACACCTTCCTTAAGCTTTAAATTCAAAAAGCAGTTAGACATCCTTCCACCTCACTACAACTCCTCCACTAAGAATGAGTATAGAAAGCTGATAGACATCTATGGCACACACTACTTCACAATGGTGAGAACTTTCACACACACACATTGTGAATTAGTTAGACATTTTTCTGCAGAAAATCATTTTAAAGAACTTTATACCTGTTTTAGGTTAATCTTGGAGGGCGACTGAGACGACTGATATCTTCACGAAGCTGTTTGTCCTCCATGAATGGGTTAAACGCAAGATGGGTAACAAAAAGCACAAAACAACAGATTTTTATGTGATACTTCCATGATACTAACGCGCAGGTGTGAAAGTAAGCCGGTACGGTCTGGTACTAAGTAAAATATTCTGGGTCGGTAGCAGTACCAGTAGAACGGCTGCAATTTGAGTCAAAATAGCTAGTAATAGGAAGTTTGAAACACAAGTTAATCTGTTTATAAATAGTTTTTTTCTCTCATTTCTTATTGTTTCTGAACTGTTGGTGCTGTGTGATGGAGCCTGTCCCTCTCTCTCTCCCCTCCCGGCGCTCTTAGGTTTCTCAGAAGCCTTCAAACTTTTCTCCGTTATAACGTCTGTCTGCTAATTACAAAATGTCCCACTTAAAAGCAAATAGTGATTATATAGTTGTGTTTTGTGTTATTTTGCTCAATTAAAACAGCAAGGCACACCTCGAAAACAGCTGCTTATTAACTTATGACCGGAAATTTCACTCGTATTCAACGTTTGTGCGTAGTACGCGCGTCTTCTTAAAAATCACGGCGCTTGCTGATCGGATTGGTGTGTTTGATTTATGGACTGGGACATTTACACAGGCGGTCCTCAGAGACATAAAAAATGTCGCTTTCACTGGGACAGGGCAAACAATAAATCGCTTATCATTTTAAAATAAAATTAAATAAAAACAGTGAAAACAGCAGACAGTGAATTTTTAATTCAAGCGAAATCAAAATCTGATAAAAGTGCAGAAAACAATAACTAATTTGTTCAAAAGAAAATAACAGTGATGCCAAAGATGAAAAAGTTACTGCACATGCTACAATGTAAACTTGTTGATCAGTTTTTATACATAATAATCATTAATAATCTAGGCTACTCAAGTAAAACTACAGTTATTATATTATTATTATTGTATGGCAGAATATATATATTTTTCCCATTGTGAAGTGTTTCCAGTTTCTGTGTATACAGGTATGCAACAGTACAGTAAAATAATGTTTCTATTTGTTTTGGTTTGCACAATGAGGCACAGATAATTTTCATCATAGTACCGGCAAGAATTTAAAACTACTTTCACCCCTACTTATATTATTACCAAATACAAGAAGCTGCAAAAATATGAAGTTCATCACTTCCAACAACCTACTTTAAGTATTTCTAGATGTGATTTTTTTTTTTTTTTGGTTTTGTTTTGTCCCTTTTAATTTCCAAGATTTTCTATATGAACATATTCTTCTCTGCTTGTGTCTGGGTCTTTATGTAAATATATGGTGTAATGCAGCTATTTTAAAAAAAAATCTCTTTGCTGTTCTTTCACCCAGATCCACACCTGTTTATCTATGGGTGTTGCTGTTGGCTTGGGGAAGATGAAACTCTCTAGTATCCAGAAGCCTTGCATCCGTGTCCTACTAAACAAGGACTTTGCCACTGGCTACAGCTCTGGTCTCCACCAGCATTTCACAGAGGTGTCAGGAGGAAATGGTTGGTTGGGGGAGTTTTCAATTTTCAAAAATGATTCCATAGGTTACATGAACTGGCTAAAGAGCCTGAAAGAACATCCAGATGTTGTTTCGTACTCCCTTCGATCTCTCTATCATCTCATGCCGAATGAGCTCCTAAAGGCAGCAGTGAAAGCTGCTATTGAGCAGTATTTGAAGGACAATGCTGTGAAGAAATCACCCCAAGAACCACACTGTGTGGGCAGAACTCCTAATGTGGCCTCTAACTGCTGCCCTCAGCACGCCTCATGGGGAACTCTATCAGTGACCATTGTTCGAGGCTGGGATCTATACGGAGATGTTATTGGACAAACTGATGGGTGGGTTGATGCAAAGGTAAAAAACAAAGACCTTATGGAACCTGATGAGCACACCTTTTATATGGCTCCTCTTTTGTTCACAGCTATGCCAAGATGTACTATGGTTCCATACAACGCAAGACCAAAATGATCGAATCCAATAGACCGAAGTGGGACGCTGAGTTTAATTTGGGCAAGGTCAGTAAACATTATCATCACAGATTAGCTGAAAAAGCTCAACAACAGACAAATTGATCTATTTCCGCTGCTGATGCAGCAGAATTTATAGATCTAATACCAGCATCAATTTTTGCAAAAATAGACATTCAATTACCGGCAGTGAGGATAATTGGGTTTTTATGCATCAGTCTTGAAAGAAAGCTGATCTATTCTTTGGTGCCACCAAAACTATGTTAGCAAACATTTCATATTGGGTCAAATATCATTTAATATCAGAAATCCATTGTAGTTTCAATTTCAACTAGATGATGTTAAATTATTGATCATGAACTAATTTGTCCTTCAACTTGTTGCTCACATGAACCAGCAGCCACAATGACAAGAAAAGAGCACCTCCCTTTAGGCCCGACTCGTTCTTGTTTCGGTTCTCAGAACCAACCTGGGTGTCTGTGGACATGCGGCTCCCACACTCACTGCTCTGCTTAACCTGTTGTTGAGACAGGAAGTGCTGACCCTCT